CTTGCGTCCAAAGGCTTTTCCACAGTCATTACATTTATGAGGTTTCCCCCTGTGAATTTGCTGGTGTATGATGAGGTCTGGCTTTCGTCCAAAGGCTTTTCCACAGTCATTACATTTTGAGGTTTCTCCCCTGTGTGAATTCGCTGGTGTATGAGGAAGGATGACTTGTGTCCAAAGGCTTTTCCACAGCCATTACATTTATAGGCTTCTCCCCTGTGTGAATTCGTGGTGTATATGAGGTGTGACTGTCCAAAGGCTTTTCCACAGTCATTACATTTATGAGGTTTCTCTCCCCTGTGTGAATTCGCTGGTGTATGATGAGGTGACTTTTGTCCAAAGGCTTTTCCACAGTCATTACATTTATGAGGTTTCTCCCTGTGTGAATTCGCTGGTGTATGAGGAGGGATCTTGCGTCCAAAGGCTTTCCACAGCCATTACATTTATGAGTTTCTCCCCTGTGTGAATTCTCCGGTGTACTATGAGGTCTGACTTCACAGAAAGCCTTTTCCACATTGAAGGCATTTAAAGTTTCTCTCCTGTGTGAATTCGCTGATGGTTTATGAGGTATGACTTCTGTGTAAAGGCTTTTCCACAGTCACTACATTCATGAGGTTTCTCCCCTGTGTGAATTTGCTGATGTTTCCTGAGGAATGAATTTTGTCTAAAGGCTTTTCCACAGTCATTACATTCGGAAGGTGAATTAAAACTGAGTGATTTTCCACAAGGTTTACATGTGTAAACTTTTTCCCTTGTATTTAGTCTCTGGTTTATTGCAAGATGTGACTGGTGAATGACAGGTTCAACATACATTGTACTTATAAAATTTCTTTCTTGTGTGAGTTTGTTGATGCATATTGAGGCTAGAATTTTCATGGATAGCTTTTTCTATTTGTGTTGCTTTTCCAAAAGTGACAGTTGACTTATTATGGTTTTCTGCCATATGAACCCTCTCAGATTTACAGAACATCTTTCTTGTGAAGACTTTTGCTTGTCCAGTGGGTCCAAATGGCTGCTTCATGATGTGATTGTCAAGCTGACTAAGAGGCTCACAGAACTGGAGAGATTTTCCAGGTATCTTAGTGTTATCAAATTTCTCTCCAGCCTGTAGTTGATCAGGCCCACTGGGGGGATACACAGTGTGACATTTATTGCATTCCTCAGGCTTCAGTCCTGAATAGATTCCCTTTTTAATAATCAGTGTTGGAACATGGCTTGAATTTAAACTAAGTGTTTTTCTTAATTCAATTCTCTTGAGAGCTGATGTCTTGTTATTTTTCATAAAATCCTGATTCAGATTTTTGTCCTGACTTTCCTGGTTGATCCTAATCAGGTCATCCCTTTTCATGACCACTGAAATGAGAAAAAGCAATCATGTCACTGAATCACATGTAACTGTTTCTCCTGGCATACTCATGTAAAGGGAATGAAGTTACTTGTTATCCAAGTGGCATAAGATGTTCACAAAATCAGTATGAGGTACTTATTTGTGACCATTATATGGTTTTTCTCCTTAATACATTAATATACCATAAGGTTTCCCAATGTTCAAACATGATCCTTTCTACTATGAATTTGTCAAGGATGGTAGAATGATTTTTGTGCTATGATGTGTGGGATACCTGCATCTCAAAACAGTGTCAGTTTGAGCCCTGGCTACTCTGCTTTCAGTACAGCTCTCTGCCTATGTAAACTGGAAGGAACCAGATAATGGTTCATGTGCCTGGGAACCTGTGAGAAACTAGGGAAGACTAGAGGGATTCTAGAGTTTTGGCTTCAGACTAGTTAGACCTAAGTGTTGCAGGCATCTGGGAAGTGAGCTAATAGAGGACCTCTTTCTCTCTCTCTCTTCTCTCACTATCACTCTGCCTTTCACAAAGATGAAATAACTATAAAATATTTTAAAGAATGGGCAAATATGTAATAAAAACATTCACCCACTACCTAGCAACCATTTTTTTTCCCTGTGCTTTTCTCCAGTTTATTTTTATAAAAATTGTGTGCTTTTGCTTCTCTGATATCTCACCATAAACATGAAAAAGTTTACCTGATCATTTACTTGCAGGGGAGAAGAGTGAAATGTGCCTGTACTTTAAGCAGGACAACATTTAAGGAGTAGGACTTAAATCTATGAGTGTCTCATGCTCAGTCTTCCTAGGTAAACAGCATTTGTGGGATTTTTCAAATGAAAAACTACTTTGTCTCTACTCTATGACAGCTTCCCCAAATTCCTAAGGACACCCAACACCTTCAGCTTCTCAGAAGTACAACAGGTACAGAAAATTCCCAATATACGACTTTAGTTAAACACTCCCAATCAGTTTGAAGAATTTTGTTTCTGCAAACCAGGATGTGCTCATCTTCTTTCAAAAGTGGTTCTAACTCATTCTGAAATCATCAGTGCTGGTTACCTCCTCTAAAGTCTTTCTAGAAACATTCCTGTGTGATAATTTGAATTTCTGGAGGCATTTGATCAGTTGCCTCCTATTTTCACTGAAAGCTTCATTTCCTATGTTTTTCTTATATTTTTATTTGCATATTTTCAATGATACTGAAATAAGAGAGAAATCATACTTCAAACTCCACCCTTCAAGAAATCTGAGCCACTCAACATAACCCACGAGGCTACTTGACCTTGGGTCTCAAAATCTCATTACTTTCTTGGTGAGTCTAGGATCACTTATTTTCATGTTTATATAAGTTCATGCTTAGTTTAGGATTTCTTTTTTCAAAGATTACTTTATTTATTTGAAAGCTAGAATTAAAGAGAGAGAGAGAGAAGTCTTTCATCTGCTGGTTCACTCCCCATATGGGAACAACAACCAATGCTGGGCCAAAATGAAGTTAGGAGCCAGGAGTGTCTTTCTTGTCTCCCACATGGGTACAGGAGGCCAAGGATTTGGTCCAACCTCTGCACTTTCTCAGATGCATTAGCAGAGAGCTGGATTGGAAGAGGACCAGCTGGGACTTGAACTGGCACCCATATGCAATGCTAGTGTTGCAGGCTGGAGCTTTAACACACTGCACCACAGTGTCATTGCTAGCTTCATAATTTCTGATGTCACAGCACAGAGGCTTACTCATGACCATCTTGTTATTTTTTTTTTAGATTTATTTATTTGAAAGTCAGAGTTACCAAGAGAGCGGAGAGGCAAAGAGAGTAAGATCTTCCAACCAATGGTTCACTCCCCAATTGGCCACAATGGCCAGAATTGTGCTGATCTGAAGCCAGGAGCCAGGAGCTGCTTCTGTGTCTCCCTCAGGTGCAGGAGCCCAAGGACTTGCACAATCTTCTACTGCTTTCCCAGGCCATAGCCAAGAGCTAGATGAGAAGTGGAGCAACTGGGTCTGAAACTGGTGCCCATATGGGATGCTGGTGCTTCAGCTAGGGTGTTTAATTCACTGTGCCACAGCACCGGCCACATTGACCATCTTTAGCATTTACTTATTTACTTACTTGGAGAGTAAGAGAGACAGATAAAGATAAAGACAGACTGAAACAGAGCTTTGCCAACTATAGGCTCACTCCTCAAATGTTTCCAACAGACTATAATTTTCTTATTTATTTTAGAAGCACAGAGGGAAAAAAAGAAAGAGACTAAGAAAGAGAGAGTTCACATTTATTGATTCAGAGTCCTGAGCAAGTTCTATGCCTGGGCAAAATCATGAGTGGGAACTCAATCTGAGCAATGAGTTAGAAATAAGTTCCAGGGTGCTGGCATTGTGGCATAGCAGGTAAAGCCACCACCTGAGGTGCTGCCATCACTTATGCGCACCAGTTTAAGTCCTAGCTGCAGACTGACCTGAAAGGCTCTGATTCAAGCATTCATCCACCATCCATGGCTCTTCTCCTCGCTCCAACTTGAAGATCAAGTCAGGTTTGGTAATGCAGTGCCCTATTAATGGAAACAAAGTAAGACTTTGTAAACTCACTATCTTGGGTTATTTAAAGGACTACAGCTTGGTTCAGGAGCTATGCAACAAATGTTCCAATTGAATCTTTTGTTAGATGGTAGATATTCAGATTATTCACAGACTCAAATTCTAATCCTGCCCAATATTAAACATTATAAAGTGTTCCCTTATTTGTCAAATAGCAAGAAAATGTTATCACTGGGCATGTGATGGGTGTCACTCACCCAAGGAGAACAGGCTGCTGTAGGTCTCCAGCATCACATCTCTGTACAGGATCTTCTGAGCATTGTTCATTTTCTGCCATTCCTCCCATGTAAAGTACACAGCCAGGTCTTCAAATGCTGTCATTACCTATAATATACACTTCCAGTCAACATGTTAACTCTGTCACAAAATAAACACTGACAGTTGTGTATGGATATGAAGGAAAAAAGGAAGGATATGGTTTCACATTAGACTTGTGGAGTGTTTAGAAAGCCACACGGAGCATTCAACAGAGTCAAACCCATGATCTACAGGCTGTGAGAAATGCCCAACCTAGAGGGAAACAGGAGGCTCAAATCACAAATGCCACATCATTCAAGGGGAATTGCACAGCAGGCTAGAAGAGGGGCAATACTGACTCTTGACTGGGCAATGTTAAGGAGAAGTATGTAGAAGCATTGAGAAAAAAAGGCAAGAAACCATCAGTGAAACTATGATGGGAATGAACAGAAAACAATTTCCAGGAAAACACCATGCATATCATTTCCAATATGTCAGAGAAAAATATATTAAAAGACAGGGCAGACATTTAGCTTAGTGTTGTTTATGATGCCACCTCAGAGTGTCCATGACTTCCAATGCCAGCTGTAGTTTCTAGCTCCCAGATAATGCAAACCTGGGGAAGCAATGGTGATGTCACCAATGAAGGAGGCCTAGATTCCATTCCTCAATCCTGGCTTCAGTCCTGCCCCACCTGTTTGGTATGCTTATCTAGGAAGTGAATTAATGTGTCAAAGCTCTCTATCTCTCAGTCCATCAACTTTTTTCTCTATCAAGCTAATAAATATTTTTAAGTAAGAGAGAAAATACAGGTAAGACAAAGAATACAAATTAGTTTTTGCCCTTGTCTATGATTATTCTACTGATAAACAATTGAAATAACATTATACCTAATTAAAGTGAAAGCAATGGAAATACTTGCCCAAAACATTCAAATGATAAACATTTGAAATGACATTATACATAATTAAATGAAAGCAATGGAATTATTTGCCCAAAAAGAGAACCTGGGAATGTCTGCAGTACAATCTGCATTTGTGACTCACTGAGAAAAATGCTTAGAGATTTGTTTCAGAACTTGCAATAGTCACCAGAATTGTGATCCAGCAGGCTAAGCCTCCACCATCAATGCTGGCATCCCATGTAAACAGAGGACTTGACTCCTTGCTGCTCCACTTCCAATCTAGTTCCCTGCTAATCTGATTGAAAGAGCAGTGAAAATGGCCTGAGTATTTGGACCCTTCCACCAATGTGGGAGACCCATGGAGTCCCAGGCTCCTGGCTTTGGCCTGGCCCAGTCCCAGCCATTGTGGGCATTTGGGGAATGAACACTAGATAGAAGATATATCCTTTTGTCTCCCTGTCTCTCCCAATCTCTGCAAGTCCACCTTTCAAATAAATAATCTTAAAAAAATAAATGAGCCTCCAGTAGATTCTTTTCTCCACACATTCCTTATCCTATTCCAGAATCCAATTCAGCTTCTCAAAGGTATTAAGAACTCCATTACTCTAACAATTTGAAAACAAACTTAACTGATTTGTGTTCCAGCACTAGGTAACTCTTCCTCTTACAGAATGCTAAGTGTTTACTTCATAGGTAGCACTAAAACACTGTTCAGTACATCATCTATGTGTAGACTGTTTCAGACATGACCCCAAAAATGTAGCATATTGTGCTTAGTTTCAACTCAATTCATGTAACAAATATATATTTTGCTATAGCAACAGAAAGAGACCAAATTGCATTATTATAGATGACAGTAATGTTTCATAATCATGCCAAATTCATAATTCATTTCTGTATATTCTGTGGGAACAAATTTTATGTTTATTTTTCTATTTTAAAATGTTTTAAAGATTTATTTATTTATTTGAAAGTCAGAGTTACACAGAGAGAAGAGAGGCAGAGAGAGAGAGGTCTTCCATCTGCTGGTTCAGTCCCCAATTGGCTGCAATGGCTGGAACTGCACCAATCTGAAGCCAGGAACCAGGAGCTTCTTCTGGGTCTCCCACAAGGGGCCCAAGGACCTGGGCCATCTTCCACTGCTTTCCCAGGCCATAGTAGAGAGCTGGAACAGAAGTGGAGTAGCCAGGTCTCAAACCAGTGTCTATATGGGAAGTCGATGCTTTAGACCAGGGCATTAACCCACTGAGCCACAGAGCCAACCCCATATTTTCCATTTTAATTAACTATTATACTGGGACTGGCACTGTGGCTAGCAGGTAAAGCCACTGCCTTCAGTGCTGGCATCCCATATTGGTGCCAGTTCAAGTCCCAGTGGCTTCACTTCCAATCCAGCTCTCTGCTATGGCCTGGGAATTCAGTAGAAGATGACCTAAGTCCTTGGGCCCCTGAACCCATGTGGGAGACCCAGAAGAAGCTCTTCACTTCTAGCTTTGGACCAGTGCAACTCGGGCCATTGTGGCAAACTAGGGAGTGCACCAGCAGATGGAAGACTCTCTCTCTCTCTCCCCCTCTGCCTCTCTGTAACTCTTTCAAATAAATAAAAAAAAAATCTAAAAAAATAAATAAATAAACTAGCATTAAACACCTAAAATGAGTACTGACAAGCTGGGGAATAATTAAAAAAAAAAACACTTACAGGTGATATATTAATTTTCTTTCCTCTTAGAAACATGTGGAGGACCCAGAATCATACCTGGGAGAGAAGGTGAATGGCAGGAGTTCAAAGAAAACTCTAGAGGCCAACGCTGTGGCATAATGGGTAAAGCTGCTGCCTTCAGTGCCAGCATTCCATATGGGTTCTGGTTTGAGTACTGCCTCCTCAACATACAATCTAGCTTTCTGCTATGTCCTGAGAAAGCAGTGGAACATGGTCCAAGTCCTTGGGCCACTGCACCTGCATGGGAGACCCAGAAGCTCTTGGGTCTTGGCTTTGGATCAGCTGAGCTCCAGCCTTTGCAGTAATTTGGAGGGTGAGCCAGCAGATAGAAGACTTTCTCTCTCTGCAACTCTTTCAATAAATAAATGAAATCTTAAAAAAAAAAAAAACCCTCTGGTTTCCTTCTGCACTGAACAGTGGGGAAAAAAAGGATATAATAGAATGAATAAAGAATAATAAATACATTAACCAAGAAAATATCAGCTTCACTGTGGAGGAATAAACCTCTAAAAATAGAAATACATAGGAAAATGCACCCACCTATATTAAGTGGCAGAGATTAAACAGAAGTTATCATTGGTTTAATGAAAGCATTATCTACAAATTTTGTAAAATAATAATGTAAAAGTAAAAAGAAAAGTTGAGTGTTCAAATGAATAAGGTTATCAGAGATAAACATTATGTTGTTATTAAAGTTTATACTAAAGAAAGTTAACAAATACACATAATGTATATTTAATGCAGTGCACTTTACCAGTAATGATTCCAAGTAGCACCTTTCCCTGTATTCATCCCTTCACAAAACCCTGGATTGGGGCTGGCATTGTGGCCTAGCGGGTAAAACTGCCACCTGCAGACTGGCATCCCATATAGGCACTGGTTTGATTCCCAGCTGCCCCACTTCTGATCCAGCTTTCTGCTATGGCCTGGGAAAGCAGTAGAAGATGGCCCAAGTCCTTGGGCCCTAGTACCCATGTGGAAGACCCAGAAGAAGCTCCTGGATCCTGGCTTTGCATTGGCATAACTCTGGCCATTGCAGCCAACTGGGGAGTGAGCCAGCAGATGGAAGAGCACTCTATCTCCCTCTCTGCCTCTCCCTCTCTCTGTGTGTAACTCTTTCAAATAAATAAATAAATCTTTTTGAAAAAGACCATGAATTTCACCATTTCAATTGATTTACCCCATGAGATACCAGTAAATGTGATAGAAATAGACAATTTGTAAAATATTTATTTATATGAAAGAGTTGCACAAAGAGAGAAGGAGAGGCAGAGAAAGAGAGAGAGGGAGAAGGAGGAATAAAGAGAGGTCTTCGAACTGCAGGTTCACTCCCAGATAGCTGCAATGGCTGGAGCTGTGTAGATCCAAAGATATGAACCAGGAGCTTCTTTCAGGTCTCCCACAAGGGAGCAGGGGCCAAAGGACTTGGGCCATCTTCTACTGTTTTTCCAGGCTGTAGCAAAGAGCTGGATCAGAAGTGGAGCAGCTGAGTCATGAACTGACACCCATATGAGATGCTGGCACTGCAGGCGGTGTCTTTACTTCCTATGTCACAGAACCAGCCCCAGAAATAGACAATTTGTAAAGTATTTGCCTTCTCAGATTTTCTTTTTCTGACAGTTATCTTCTGAAAAACCCTGGGGCCTGCCTGTTGAAGAGATAGTATGTAGGCTGGCACCGTGGCTCACTAGGTTAATCCTCCACCCATGGCACTGGTATTCCAGGTGACAGTCCCAGTTGGGGTGCTGGTTATGACCCAGTTGCTCCTATTCCAGTCCAGTTCTCGGCTGTGGCCTGGGAAGGCAGTGGAGGATGACCCAAGTTATTGGGCCCTGCACCCACAAGGGAGACCAGGAGGAAGTGCCTGTCTCCTAGCTTTGGATCAGCACAGCATGCTGGCCATAGCAGCCATTTGGGGGGTGAACCAATGGAAGGAAGGCATTTCTCTCTGTCTCTCTCTCTCTCACTAACTCTGCCTGTCAAAAAAAGAAAAAAGAGATAATATATAGCCAAGATTCACCACAAACCCCAGACACTTAAGTGAAGCCTCAATCAGTTCCCCAAATGGCTAAACTCTCATTTCTGCTCCTGGACTGATCATAGGAACTGCCCAGCTGAGTACAGCCCAAAACACAGAGTCAGAACTGCAAATCAAATGGCTATTTGTTAAGCCATTGTGTTTTCTGATTTGTCCTACATCAAATGCGATATATATCAGTAAGTATGGCAGAAAGTTGAATTACATGCAAACTACAATGCATACAACTTCAAAATTTCATTTGGAAGTTCCCAATGGCCAACAGGCACATGAAAAAATGTTCAAGGTCATTAGCAATCAGGGAAATGCAAATCAAAACCACAATGAGGTTTCACCTCACCCCGGATAGAATGGCTCAGATGCAGAAATCTACCAACAACAGATGCTGGCAAGGATGTGGGGAAAAAGGGACACTAACCCACTGT